TATTTTGATTTGGGGGTCAGAGGGAGGAAGAAAATATCTAGTGCTCATAAGCCCATCGGGGAAATAGCATATAGGTGGCTAATGTCAGAAACATCATAGGACAGGCTTCCTGGGAAGCAGAGATGGTAAACAGAGAGAGCAGAGCCCAAAGGACCATGATAGAATCCAAGTAAACCAATTTATTCTCTCTGCAGTGCCTCTGGGCCCTGTTTTGGCAAACCCTTTCTTTCACCTAAAGAGCAATGAAAATGCTTTATAGCAACAATGTTTATTTTGAAAGACCAGTGGCATCTGACTGGTTTTTATGCCTGTACAACTACCAGCAGTTCACAGTGGTGATGGGAATGTCAACAGGATCCAGATTCAGTTTTGGATAGCACCCTCCTGGCATTGCCATTGAGACAAAGTAGGACAGAGTAGGGTGGGGGGCAAAAGAAGGCTCAAATCCCCCCATAAATCCTTGCCATGTTAGGGAATTTTCAAAACCGGGAGTCAGTATATCATACAAGAGTGATGTTAACTGGGCACCTGTTAGGTGAGCAATATTTATTCATTGCCACAGAATGTCATTTTTGCCCAAAGGACACAGAAACACTAATTCAAAGGGCACCTGCACCCCTATGTTTAGAGCAGCACTATTTGCAATAGCCAAGCTATGGAAACAACCAAATGCCCAAAAATAGATGACTGGATCAAGAAGATGTGGTACATATACACAATGGAATATTATTCAGTGTTCAAAAAAGATAAACTCATGCCATTTGCAGCAACATGGAGCTGGAAGTGATCATGCTCAGCGAAATAAGTCAGAAAGAAAAAGAAAAATATCAGATGGTCCCACTCATAGCAGGAATTTAGAAAACCCACTTAAGGCTCAACCACCCAGAAAGGTTAAACACTATATTTTACATGTCAGAAACCTGACATTCAATGATGATATATAAGACCAAGGTCACACCAAACAGAGAATGGCATAATTGGAGGTTGAAGTCCTGTTTGACTTCTGAATGTTACTTTGCAACACAGTAACAGTATAAAATAGGAAAGAGTACAGTAAAAGATGTGTAATTTTGTCATCATAATGCGGTACTTAGCATGAGTAATACTGCAAAGCTTCAAATGAGAAATGCAAATTTAAATATCACTATTTTTGCTGAGAATCACATTCCGAAAAGACATGACAAGTAGTGCTGCTCATGACATACAAATTTAGAAATCAAATTGTGAAATGAATTTGTGTTTAAAGATGGTAAACGGAATTGCGTATCTTGGTGACTAGTGTGTCATTTCATGGAGTAGCAGGATGCCAACTATAAAAACTATTTCTATCTTATTTAAACATAGGCCCCAAGTTAAGAAATTGATTGTGCACACATAAAACATTTTGTTTGAATATAAAGCAGTTTATTGAAGAGAAATTTTAGTTTCTAGTTTTGAATCCAAGCTGAATGAAAGCTTGTTTGCAATTGTTTGGATGAGGCTATCTTGTGCCAATGTCATAACAGATTTCATTCCAGTGTGCTAACTTCTGAATTGCAAATTTGTAGAAATGACTCTTAGCTACAATTGTGTTGAACTGAGTGAATACAACTACTTTTCAGCTAGTAAAAAAGCACTTTTTGTTGCTACTGAAAAATACAAGGTATTGTTGGCTCTGTCAAAATTAATCATTGTTACCTGCTTTATGGAGTTACAAGCTTATCAAGGGTCATGAATAAAAAGAGAGAATTTCAGACAACTCTATCATGATTGTTCAGGGTAGACACTAAATTTTTCTAATATGGCTGGAAATTAATATTACTGTGGGATAAAAAGAGTACCTTGGAGACTGCATTCACCTGTGTCCATATATTGCTCTGTAACCTCCAAAGATTTATTACTGTAAGGAAATGCTCCATGAAAATATCCTTTTTCAAATTAATTTGTTTTTTAGATATAATTGGCACATAACACTATTATTTCTGGGTATAAAAGTATTCTTGCATAATGTTTGCAGATCATTTTAGAGAAATAGGTCATATTTAACATTTTAAATTATTCCAGCTGATTTTTGTTTATACATTTAAATGACTCAAGCTTCAATACACGAGTCTTCACTTTCTGAATGGTACTTACATTAACTCTGTGGACAATGGTAAGATATTCAGCTATGGAGTTTTCCCTTCCTCCCCTCACACCCTCCTTTTTCTTTGGTTACAAATAAATGTCATGAATGATTGTAAGAATTTCTAAAGACTTTTTTCTTGGAAATGAAAATATGCCACTCACAAGTAGAAATTCATAAGGGTTAATTATTAAGTCCAATACTTTGGTTAATAAAATCAATTGCACTAGTTAACAAAGAATTGAAAGTCAAAAAAATATTTAGGGATTGTGATTTCTATGATAGGTTGGAAAAGAAGTTCTGAGAATCCTCTCCCCATTGGAAACTAAGTTAAATACATATACAAGCTAAGAGAGCATGCATCCACTGTAGAGAGTTGTCACTGGAGATGACATTTATTCTGGGATGCAGGCAACACTGTAGTGGTCTGGAGTCTTGGCTTTTGGTCTATAATTAGGACTCAGGGAACACTATTGCCAACAAAAGAGCTCACCCTGCATGCTCTGAGGCCTTGATTTCATATTATATTTTTTGGATCACCAAACCGCAAGTAAATTACATAGCTTCAAACACTAGATAGAGAAAGGTGGACCAAGAGGTAGTTCTACAAGTTTAGACAGTCATCTGTATTTCATTATTAAAATTTACTTTTTAAAGTTAAATTATGACCCTGATATTCACAAGTTGGAGGGGACAGTGAGCTGATCTGTGTGACATCTTCAAAAGGAACTCAGCACAACTATGCCAGAGACATATGTGTGCTATGCAGATTATTAGAGTAACTGAAGCAAATTATTTGAAAAAATAAAATCTAGATTATATCAAAATGTACAACCATAATTCTAATATGTACAAGTTCATTTTCTAAGTGCTTTATTAGAAATGAGTTACATTATGTTGTGAACATGCATGTTTGTAGCTACCTCTAAATCATATTTGTGAATATTATGTTATTCCAATTAAGCTAATTTAAAGATTATGATTACTGAAGTAAATTCTAACTGCTGAGGCCTAATCATCTTCACATAAATATTAGGCTGGTGCTAAAATAAAACTTCTACCTGAGACAAATAAAAATTTAGTTGCGTATTTGACTATACAAATAAGCAACACTCTATTGCTAAATACCTACAATTTGTTACATCCTAATACTGTAATAATAGACAACAATAATAGTCCTTTGCATTCTAATATTCCAGACCACAGAGGTCATTTTCTTGTTGCTATTCAGGAAACAATGAAAGCCATCATGCTTAAATGGATTTAGTAATTAAACGATTATTTCTACCTTCCTTCACACATGTGGCTTTTTTTGCATGGTTTTGCCTGCCTGTTTCCCTTCAAGGTACCATGCTTTCATATCTAGGTTGACTAATTCAATATTTTTCCATTTCTCTGAAAAATTATTGACATAAAAAGATAATTTGCAAATCAAATAGAATAGGGCATTCCCTCCCTAACTAGTAAATATATCTCTGTTAATGGTATCATCTTCCTTAGCATTGCTTACAGTATCAAAAGCAGTTTTAATTCCCTTTTCTCCTTTTGTCTCCATATGCAATTTTCATAAATGCAGCTGTGTTGGGTATTATGCTGCATCAACCACATTCCTTTCAGGAATGAAGGACTACTTCCTATAGCTACTGGGAATGGTGCTGGAAGGTGATCATTAGATCAGTCCTCCTTAAGCATCGCCTTGTTTGAAAAAATAATAACTTGTCCAAGGTCAAAACTTCTTCCACATGCAGCCCATTTTCAGAGCCTCCCTGGTGGCTAAGGGGTTAACCCTCAACACTATCTGAGCTCCATCTCCGGCCAAGGAGCTAACCCTCACATGATGCAGCAGACCAGTCCTGTCTTGCCTGCTGCTCCCCTTAGCTGTGTATTTCAGTAAATCCACCTGTTCTGCTTCCCACTCTGTCCCTGGTGAACCTCACACTCCCTGAATCTCTGGCCTACACCCCAGTTCTTCTATGCATAAATAAAGAAATATTTTTTTAAAAAGTTCTCTCAGTCCCCCATTGTTCGGATGAATAGTTCCCTCTACCATGCCTCCTAGTGCCAAGCTTAAACTTTGTGTATATCAGAATGTACTTTGTATTGAGATGACTTATTAATATCTATTTCTACCACCAGTTATGAAATCCTAGGAGGCAGAAGTCAAATGATATTCATCTTTCTAGCTACTGGTAACATGTGAAATCATTAGTACCTATGTTCCAATTCTAACCAATCAGAAAGGACTCGGGATTAAAGCCCTGAAGCATATGATGCATCATGTGGTAACCCTTCAAGTTAGTGCTAATCATGAGAAAAAGCCAAAGGGCTGGGCCCCTAGTGGCACAGGCAGTTGAGTGCAGCACTGTGAAGCTGTCCACATCATCTACAGTGCGGGTTCCATCCTGGCCAGCCAGGGAGAAATCCACATGGCGCGGCAGACCTCTCCTGTCTCGCCCTCTGCTCCCCTCAACAGTGTGTTTCAATCAGTCTGCCTTTCTGCTCCCACTGTGTCTCTGGTGAATTCTCTCACCCTCCCACGCATCTGGCCTATACCCTGGTTCTTGTATGCATGAATAAATAAATCTTTAAAAAAAGAAAAAAGGGCCCTGTGTGGTTGGGCTGAGGTCACTGGTGGGTCAAGCTAGAGTGTCAAGGTTACACTACAGTGGAACTCAAACATTCGAGTATTTCTCAACATATAAATACAAGGATCAGCTGCAATATTTTAACAAATGGCCTCAGTGATTTAACATCCACTTCGATTCATAACTACAATCCTTATTAAAGTTTTCCAAATTATAAGCTTGCAGCAAATAATTGTTGTACAATTAAGAACAGAAAAAATGGACATAAAGTTATTCTAAAAGACCACTGACATATATGCACATTGGCAGACTTATTTAGTCAGCACCAATAGGAACATTCTCATATACCTATGAAAATTACGTAGTCTAGGGAGGGTCTCCCTGGTGGCGCAAGGGGTTAAAACACAACCAATGAAGCCATCCTCAACCTTTGCAGCACGAGTTTGATCCCTGGCCGGCCAGGAAGCAACCCACATGGCATAGCAGACCTCTCCTGTCTCACCTGCTGCTCCCCTCAGCAGTGTATTTCGTCAGTCTGCCTGTCCCGTTCCCCACTCTGTCTCTGGTGAATCCTCTCACCCCCCAGCACTTCTGGCCTGTACCCCAGCTCTTGTAAGCATAAATAAATCTTCAAAAAAAAAAAAAAGAAAGAAAATTATGTAGTCTAGCTCTTATGTCAGATTAAAAGTAATTATACAATTTAAATTATAATAGAAGTCTTCCGACAGAGCTATCAATAAAGATGACGTTAACCTCTTTTATAGCCTCAGCTTCCACAAATTGTAATGGCAACACTGATTCAACTTTAAGGAACTACCCTAGGAAAAGCAGTTATGATTTGCCATTATATCTCAAAATTATGAAGTCTGCAAAATATCTTCTATAACCAATAACATTTACCTAATTCATCCTTGCTTAACAAAAATACCCCGAGTAGTGCTTAACTTCCAAATTCTTTCTAAAGTTCTTCAAACCAATATGTTAAAAAGAGTTCATATCTGATTAGTGAAAACATGCATTGGAATTTTACAGTCTCACAACTGCTCTAAAATCAACAAAAATTGACTATACAAAAGAGAAGCATATTAAATCTGATTATTTAATTATTGTTAGGTTGATTTCCATAACTTCAAGATTCTGAATTATGGATGAGGAGCATTGTTTAGATAGTCATAAACATTCCTAATTCAATAATGTCCCACAGTTTGAAGTTTCTCTTACCTTCCTTCTGATATGTAGCAGAACTCAATGTCTTACAGATAACAGAAGACTGAGATTTATTGTATTAACCAAAAGCATTACTGGCTATTATGAATGATTTGCTACCCTTTACACATGAATTAAATTCTAAGACTTTAGAGACTCCACCAGCTATGAGTATTGTTATTTGGTGATTAAAATGAAAATAGAAACTGTCTGGTTCATAAGTTGGTATAACTATTTCAAAGTAGTTGTCACAACTTTAAATTGTTATGCCTTTAATATTTCTACCTCTAGGATTGGCCAAGAGAATATAGCACTAGGATATAAATGGCCAAGAGTATATAGCACCAGGGAGAAAATGTATGCTCCAATTATTTGGAAAGATAATGACTAAAATGGAAATTAAATTTTCCTATGGGTCACTTATTAAAGGAGAAAAGGTGAATTACATTTTATATTTCTTCTCATCATATTTTCATCCAAGTAACATTTTATGAATGGGTTTGTTACCTGTAATTACACCACGTTTCCAAGGGCATATATGTAGAACATATGGTAGTACATTTTTAGCATCTACGGTGATGTGTGTATTTCCCCACACTATTGGGAGATCTGAAGATACCTAGAAAAGAGAATTCAAAAACAAGAATTATACAATGTCAAAATTCACATGAAATTAGTGTAACAATTTAAAGCATACAAAAACCCTGAAAATTTCATTGATTCCATCAAAACGATTCACTTTTAAAATAAAAAGCAATCTAGAAAAACGCTACATGCAACTGAAAAAAACCTGAAAATAAATCTATGAAAAAATTCAACAAAGGAAAGGATTCTTATAAAAAATGCCAACATATGTTGTCTATTGTTACTTGTAGCAATATCACTGATGCTTAGAAATCTGAATGCCTTTATATTTGAAGTATTAATAGTTATTTTTATTATTTTATCATCTGTACTTTTGGTGTCACATGTAAAGATTATTAGCCAAGGTTATAAAGATTTACTTCTATGTTTTCTTCTACTGTTTTTTTTTTTGTTTGTTTTAATTATTAAATTTTGACCTATGATCCATTTTGAGAACACTTTTTTACATGGTCTGTGTTAGGGGTCCAAATTTACTCTTTTGTATGTGACTATATAACTGTATAGTTGCATCAGCACCATTTTTTTAAAATATTTTTTTTTTTATTCATTTATACAAGCACTGGGTACAGTCAGAAACGTGGGAGGGTGAGAGAATTCACCAGAGCCACAGCGGGGAGCAGAACAGGCAGACAGACAGAGGACACTGCTGAGGGGAGCAGCGGGAGAGACAGGAGAGGTCTGCGGTGCCATGTGGGACCCTCACCCTGTGGCTGGGGATCAAACCGGAGCTGCAGAGGCTGCGGGCAGCTTCGCAGCCCAGTGCTCAACTGCTGCACCACCGGGGAGGCCCATCAGCACCATTTTTTAAAAGACAATTCTGTCTCATTGAATTCTCTTGGTATCCCCATCAAAACTTGACTGATCACTATCATAAGGATGTATTTCTGGACACTCCTGTCTGTTTCATTCATGTACAAGTCTACCTATGTCAGTACCACCTTTTCTGTAATATCATAGCTTTGTAGTTAAGGGTACACAGTAAGTTTTAAGATCGGGAAGCATGAGGCATCCATTTGTTTTATTACATGAGATTGCTTTGGTTGCCCAGTGTCCCTGGCATTTCTATATGAATTTTAGGATTACCTGGTCAAATTCTGTCCAAAAAAAAAAATCAGTTGGGATTTTGACAGATATTATGTTGAAGCTGTACATCAATTTGGGTAAAATTGTCACTAAAACAATATTAAGTCTTCTGATCTATGGGCACAGAATGTCTATTTGGAATTTCTTTAATTTCCTTCAATAATATTTTGTAGTTGTCTGGGCCTCCCTGGTGGCGCAAGGGGTTAAGCACCGCACTATGAAGCAATGCGCAGCCTCTGCAGCAGGAGTTTGATCCCCAGCCAGCTAGGGAGCAAACCACATGGCGCAGCAGACTTCTCTTGAATTGCTTGCTGCTCCCCTTGGTCTATCTTTATCGGCCTGTACTGTTCCCCACTGTCTCTGGTGAATCCTCTTGCCCCCCGCATCTCTGGCCTGTACCCCAGCTCTTGTATGCATAAATAAATCTTTTAAAAATATTTTGTAGTTGTCAGTATATAAATCTTGCTTTTCTTTTGTCAAACTTATTCCAAAGCATTTTATTATTTTTGATGTTATGATTATTAATTTTAATTAGGATTGTTCATTGCTGGTATATAACTGATTGATTTTAGTATATTAATCTTGTATCCTTTAAACCTTTTGAACTTCTCTCTTTAATAATTTTTAGTAAATTCCTTAGAATTTTCTATTTATAAGATTGTATCTACAAATTGATTACATGATTTCTTCCTTATTAATCTGGATCTCTTTTATTTTTTTTCTTAAGTAATTACACTAGCTAGTATCTCCAGAACAATGCTGAATAGCTGTGGCCTACACTTGTTCCTGACCTAGGAAAAACAATTTAATGTTCTACCATTTAAATATGATGTTAGTTATACGGTTTTCGTTGATGTCTTTAGTATGTGTCAAGCACACATGGAATATTCTCCAGGTTAACCCATGTCTTAGGATAAGACAATGGGCCAATAAATTTAAAAGGGTTAGATTCATATACAGTATGTTTTTTTTCTTAACAAAAAAGGAATCAAAAATCAAATAGGAAGAAATTTAGGAAATTCTTTAATATGTGGAATCAAAAAACAAAAAAAAAACACAGTCCTACATAACTACTTAAGTGAAAGTATGTATTTGATATTAGTACCTAGATTAGTACCTAGATGACTGTTCAAAGCTGGAAATTGCCAAGCATGATGTTGTATAGACATAAGAATGCTGTGGAAGATGGAAATTTTTTTTTTATTTTAATTTTACAAGCACATGGGGTACAGGTCAGAGGTGCAGGAGGGTGAGAGAATTCACCAGACAGAGCAGGGAGCCGAACAGACAGAAGGACCAAAATAAACTGCTGAGGGGAGCAGCGTGTGAGCCAGGAGAGGTCTGCCTCGCCATGTGGGAATCTCCCTGGCCGGCCGGGAATCGAACCCATGCTGCAGATGCTATGGAAAGCTTCACAGCTCTGCGCCACCAGGGAGGCCTAGGAAGATGGATTTTTGAACAGAAATCACAAGGTTAGAGAAATAGAAGAACCAGATAAGTAATAATCAAGGAATCACAGGAAAATGGGAAGTATAGGAAATATTAAATAAAGGACAAAATGTTAAGAAGGCAGATCAACAGTGTTGAATACTTCAGGAGTGCTGAGATGGAGAACTTGGGAAAATACCTGATTTCTCTTGACTAAAAATTAAGGCTGATCTTTGTGGAACCAGTTTCAACAGAGTAGAGGAGCTATAAATGGACTGCCGTGAAACAAGAACTAATTCCACAAACATTGCTTTTTCAAGAAGTTTAGGAATCATGGAAAATAAAAGTAGAAGGAGTAGTGTTAGTGAAAAGTTTTCTCTTGTCATGGAAAAATTTGAGAAAATTTATAGATAAGGAAAATAATGAAGGAAGAGGGGTTAAGAAGGGAAGGGAATGTAAATCAGTCTTGAATGCCTATGGGTCAACTTCATTGTACAGATGAAAGAATGAAGATGAAGAATCAAAGCATTTCAGCAGTCACTAAGCAAGTATATAATGAAGTCTAACACTACAAAGCAAAGATTTTTAGCCTAGTCCTTCTCCTTAGCAGCACCTCCATTGTTTCTCAATAGAATTTCCATTGAAATACAAGCAATAGGGCCTCCCCAGTGGCGCAGCAGTTGAGCGCTGGGTTGGGAAGCTGCCCGCAGCTTCTGCAGTGCCAGTTCGATCTGCGGCCATCCGGTGAGGGTCCACATGGCGCGCAGACCTCTCCTGCCGCCCGCTGCTCCCCTCAGCAGTGTACTTCGGTCCTTCTGCCTGCTCTGCTCTCCCCTCTGGCTCTGGTGAATCCTCTCACCCTCCCGCGCTTCTGACTGTACCCAGTTCTTGTATAAACAAATAAATCTTAAAAAAAAATACAAGCAATAAAGTAAATTTGAATGGAAAGAAATGGCACATTGGTACACAGAGATTTAAATTATGGTAATTTAAAAATTAAGAAAGGTGATACTTTACTGATAATATCTCTAAGAATAAATGTTTCTTAGGTCTAAATATATTTCTGTTCTTTTTTGTTGGCGCAATTTAAACACAGATATATGGAAATTAGGAAGATCTGGAAGATGTGAACAGCATTATAAATACTTTAATGAAACAATGGTCAATTAATTTTAACAGATAACATCTTTAATTACAGAAATAGCCTCACTGAAAAGTGTACTTTAAAAACAAAACCAGATTCTTCAGTTTTATTTGTGTATTTAAATGACAGAAATAGACTTCCATTATTGTTTGAGAATAATTTTGTTACTAATAGGATTTAACTTTTACATTTAATTGATATAGCTAACATAGCATCATTATAGGTACATTTTTTTAAATTAATTTATTTATACAAGCACTGTGTACAGTCAGAAGCACGGGAGGGTGAGAGAATTCACCAGAGCGGGGAACAGAACAGGCAGACTGATGAAATACACTGCTGAGGGGAGCAGCAGGCAAGACAGGAGTGGTCTGTTATGCCATGTGGGACCCTCGCTGGCGGCCAGGGATCGAACCGGCGCTGCAGAAGCTGCGGGCAGCTTCGCAGCCCAGTACTCAATCGCTGCGCCACCAGGGGAGGCCTTCATTCTGTAGAATAAAATTCCAAAGCCTATAGACATCATCTCTGAAATTTTAACAAAATGAAATAAACTTTGTGATGAAATTATAGATTTTTCTATATCATATTTTCATTGAATTCTTAAGATGGGATTCCTTGCTCACCAATAAATTCTGGAAGGGGAGAGGAAGTGGTAAAAAACATTTTTTCCCTTATTTATAACAAAGCCACATTAGTCATGACTTATCTCCTTCTCACTTTCTTTCTCTCTCCCTCTTTCCTCCCTCTCTTTTCTTTAAATGTCACCCATTATGTTTTTATCTGTTCATTAGCAAATCTTCCTTGAACAACTATTTGTGCTGGATACCACAACTTATATGTATAAAAATGTGGCAAAGAGAAGCATGGTCCTTTATCACAGTTTATAATCTGGTGAAGAATAATAAGCAGATAATAGCAAAATGATGTAGTATGTATGATGTTGAGATGGAGGAAAAAATGGTAGAAGCACATGAAGGCATCTGATCTATGTATATGGGGATAGGGAAGGATTCTTGGCAAAGTGGCATCAAAGAATTCCCTTAAAGAATGAAAAGGAGTTAGACAAGGAAAAAATGGAAGATACAAGGAAGAATGATTTAAAGCATATATAAAATAAAAAAAGAAAAATCAAATCATTAAAAAAATAAAAGGAAGATAGAGACTTGGGCAGATATTTTCCAACAGCAGCAAAAGAAAATACTGTATACAAGGAATTGTTGGAGCCAGAGGTAGCAAGAGATGAAGCTGAGCAGAAAAGCAAGGACAGTGAGCTGCTGAAAGACAGTGAAGGCCATTTCAGGGGGTACAGACTTGATCCTGAAAATAAGAGGCAATACTGAAGAGTCTGAAAAGAGGGGTGACAAGACAAGATTCTCACATATAACACTCACTCTGTTTGCTATTCAGTAAGGAAAGAAGAGAAAATCAAAGTAAATATTTTTCAGGATTATAAGAAAAAAGCAAATTCTGCGTGCAAATTCACAATTTTTCAAACTTTGGCAGCACCCCATTAACCCGAATTCAGGCAGCTCTGAGGGATAGGTACCTGAAGCATCTTTTCAGGATTCTATGGGGCATACACCAATGTTTAGATCAATATGGGAGCAGGTATGGAAAAAATTCATTTTAGGATTAGCTTAAATCAAGTAAAGAGGGTCAAGGACATAACTCTATAGAAAATAAAATTGTAAATAATTATTCATTTCTTCACATTCCCACTATTATTCACTGGTAAATGAGAGGATGCATCTTTGCCTTTTTTTTATTATTTAAATAATAAATTTTATTTTTATATTCCCCCATACAATTGCAAACCCCCCATTCTGACCCAAATCCCTCCCCTCCCGCCCCCACCCCCCAAAAAGTGTCTCTGGTTCATAGTTTTTTGTTGATTTTGATTTTCACTTTCTTATATTCATTTTTCTGGTCCCTTATTTAAGTCTTCTAGATTCCTGCTATTGTTATAGGACAGGGAGAGGGGCAGCCCAAACCCCGCAAACCTGCCTATTCTAAATGGGTTCTGCCATCCGCCGCATCAACACAAAACATAGGAGACTTTAATGAAAAGGAACTTTAATAAAACTAGGAAACAATACAGGTAAGGCAAAAAGTCTAGTTTCTAGTCTAGTTTCTAAATGAAGCATCCAGAGTTACCCGTCCCCTCGTGGGTAAAAGTCCATCCAAATGGGATTGGCCCAGAACAAGGCCCCAAAGCCTGCCCCAAGTCTAAAGCATCTTCCAGTGGGGACCCACAGAAAAGGGTCACAAACAACTGGACAAGCCCGGAAGGAAAAGAGCAAAATCAACATCAAGATAAAAGCTGCCATTGTCACCTCCCCACGGGTCTCACCCACATCTGTGTCACCTAGTCCACGACCAAAAGACAAGCGCAGTTTCTTCACGTGTCTCTAGGCTCCATGTGCCTCCTCCAGGTCTCCTGGCTCCATCCTGCTTCCTTCCTCAGTCTCTTCTGCAGCTTCTCCTCTTCCTGCTCAGCTCCACCCTTCCTTGGGTGGGGCAGGGAACCTGGAACCTCCCCCTTTCCTGGGGACCACCCTGTTACACTATGAGTGAGACCATCCGGTATTTTTCTTTTAGGCTTATTTCGCTGAGCATGATCCCTTCCAACGCCATCCATGTTGCTGCAAATTGCATGTGTTTATCTTTTTTGAATGCTGAGTAATATTCCATGGTATATATGTACCACATCTTCTTGATCCAGTCATCTATTTTTGGGCATTTGTGCCGCGGACCAGCACAGCAGTAGGCAGTAGACGATGAGGCCACCTCAGGGTTGAGAGAAGCGTGCAGGGTGGTCAGGGCGTCGGCGAAAGAAATGACAAACAGACAACACTTCAAGAGTGAAAATCTGAGTGTAATTTTCTCTAAATTTGCGACCAGTATATATATGTTTTCCAAAAGCACAGGAATGAATATCAAGGAAATTAGCTTGCTCATGGGCTCAGTCTACCACTATCAGGGAGGTGATCTACATAACAAGCAATGACCATTATGGAAGAAAGAAGGAAGTTTAGAAAGACAAATAAGGGATTAAAGTTTGTAGTTCTAGAAAGACAGGGAAAAGATTTTTAGCATTCTTGTAGTGGTTCTGTAGTGGTTCTTGGTGGTCTTTATCTTTTGATAAGCTTCTGCCTTTTCAGGGAACTTCCTTGCACTTCCTCTGCTTCAGGCTGTTCTCCCCCCAGGAGCTGGTTGCCCAGCTGGATCTAGGGAACGTGGTGAAAGCCATTCCTAAAGATCACTGCGGGGGGGGGGGGGGGGGGGGGGGGGGGGGGGGGGGAGGTGCAGCAGGTAGGGTTTTGCTGTTCTTCCCCTGCGCTCTGGTTGCCCAGCCGGACCTAGGGCCGGTTAGCACTAAAGGTCACTGCAGGGGAAGGTGCAGCACATTTGGGCTGTTTCCAAAGCTTAGCTATTGTAAATAGTGCTGCTATAAACATAGGGGTGCAGGTGTTCTTTGAATGGATGTTTCTGTGTCCTTTGGGTAAATACCTGGAGTGGAATTGCTGGATCATATGGAAGCTCTATGTTTAGTAGGTCCAGAAATCTCCACACAGCTCTCCATAGTGGTTGGACCAGTTTGCACTCCCCAACAGTGCAGAAGAGTTCCTTTTTCTCCACACCCTCGCCAACATTTGTTGTTGCTAGTTTTTTTAATATGTGCCATTCTCACTGGTGTAAGATGGTATCTCATGGTAGTTTTGATTTGCATTTCCCTGATGACAAGTGATGTTGAACATTTTTTTCATATGTCTGTTGGCCATTTGCATTTCCTCTTCAGAGAAGTTTCTTTTTAGCTCTTCTGCCCATTTTTTGACTGGATTATTTTCTTTGTTGTTGCTGAGTCTCATCAGCTCTTTGCAGATTTTTACAGATAAACATTAACATTTTATTTAATTTTTTTTCTATTTTTTTAAATTGAGGTAACAATGGTTTACATTGCTGTCTGTGTTTTAGTGTCTCAAGTGTTGTTACCATACCACACCCACCACCAAAGTACCCATAATCCATGCCCATTCACATTAAAATTTTTAAAAGTTGCTTCAAAAGCAGTTTAAAAATACCTTATATTATCATGTACAATTTTCTTCATATGAAAATATGCAATACTCAAGTAGATTTTACTGTCATGATTATGGATTAATATTTACATATAAAATTAGTTTGATGCTAATGACATTATAATTGAAATTTAACAGCTACAGTGACATTACTTCACCTAGTTAAATGTTTTAAGAATTTCATATAATTCAATATATTTCTTCTGAAAATTCTTTCCTTCTTTCTTTTTTTTCTTTCTTTCTATAAGAACCAGGGTACAGGCCAGAGGTACAGAGGGGTGAGAGGACTCACCAGAGACAGAGCAGGGAACAGAACAGGCAGACTGACTGAAATACACTGCTGAGGGGAGCAGCGGGCGAGACAGGAGAGGTCTTCCGTGCCATGTGGGATTCTTGCTGGCTGGTGGGGATCGAACCTGTGCTGCAGAGGCTGCGGACAGCTTCACAGCGTTGTGCTCAACCACCTGTGCCAGCAGGGAGGCCCTGAAAACACTTTCATACTTAAAAAAAAAAAGGGAAAACCTTACCTTGTAAGTTATCATTGTATTTGTGTAATTGGGCACCATTATGGGTTTATTTGTTATAATCCCCACTTCACAACGCACAGTGATGTGTTCCAAGGCCACAGGTTTCCTTCCAATCCCTTTTACTTCAAAAGTATGTTTCAAACCATCTACTTCATTTTGTAGAGAAAGCTTGCCCTGTGATAAACCAGCCAAATTTCAGACCTATGGGAGTCACAGTTATATACCAAACAACTTTTACTGTCTTACTAATCTTCAGTTTGATTAAGTGATCTTTCAAGCATCTGCTAAGCCATTGATTTTTCCAAATTTATGTATAAATACTTCAGCCTAATGAAGATGAAATTTCCTGTGGAAAGTATTTCTCTTTATTTTCTCTAAAACACAGAGTTTAGATAGGCATTCTTACACGTAGTAATTGTATGCATGTTATATCCTTGTCAAGGAAATGTGTCTTATTAAAGTGTTTCCTGAAGTACTACATTCCTTGTTGAATAAAAACAAAAGGAGAAATGACTTTACTTGTTAAATGCACTATATAAAAATAATCTAGTTATAAGCATTGAAAGTAAATGGCATTGTGGCTTTCAGAATATTTATCCCTCCAATTAAAGTATTTATTTAAGTTTCAACAGAGTGGACACTAATGATCAGATTCATGGAAAATATAAATTTTCTACAAAATGACCCCTCTTAAAATACATAGGCTACTATCACACACTGGGCTATTAACACAGTATTACTGAGGGGTTAAAAAATATATTCAATGGATTCATACCATAATTTCACATTCCAAAATAGGTTTGAAGGTGAGAGGATATGTCACAGTTTCTCCTGGCTTGACATATAATATGGGAGGTCCATAAAAGCATTCTCCTTCTATATCAGCTTGACATTTCCATTCATTCTTTGTGTGATTCTTCTGTAGCATGAAAAAAAGTTAGGAAAATATCAGAAGGATGATGGCAATAATGCTGAGTGACATGTTAATTCTTGGTACATTTAATAAAATTATATATTGTATTTTAAGTGTATTTTTATTGCATTTCATAGGAATCACCAAAAGTCACAGTTGCTGGGAATGACTGTCAAAAAATTGAATATCATCTATGAGGATGACAATATGCCATCTCAGTGTCACAGAGGAGCACTGCCTGATAGGGTGATGCATGGATTATTTAATATCTAACTATTCATTTAATATCTTAATATTTCATTATTTGATTACTAATTATTATTAAAATGATAAAGTGGTTTTGAAGATACACCTTCTACTCCTAATTATAGGTAATAAAAAGTGTTCTAACTGGTAGGCTGTTCAGATAGCAAAGCTTACAAATCTCATCAGAACAAATTTTTATGTTTCAAGCTATATCTTCAAACAAAAAATTTCTTAGTGTAAGAAATTCAAAATTCCTTACAATTTTATATAATCACTATGCTGTATTAGTACTTTGACTAATACACTATAGTCAGTCATTGTTCTTAGCAACTATGAACCCATCTTAATCAAGTGCTAAGATCACATCTGAATTTGGAATACACTAATTTGAGAAGCCATAACTTCTGTATTTTTTTCAATTTATTTCTGCATAGGAAAACTAGGGTGTAGGCCAGAGGTGGGGCCTGAGAAGAATCACCAGAGACAGAGTAAGGAGCAGAACAGTTGGATTTACTCAAATATATTGCTGGGAGTAACAGTGGCTGAGACAGGATAGGTCTGCTACACCATGTGGGCCAGCTCCCTGGCCAGGGATCAAACTCAGGCCACAGTAGTGATAGCACTGACACTTAACCCTTAGGCCACCAGGGAGGCCCCATAACTCTTAAATCTTTGAACTTACTATTGGAATATTCTGGGTAAGAGGTTCAAATGCTGGTGTTTCAAATACAAATCTGGCCTCTGGATATTCTTGATTCACCACACCTTCAATGTGATAGACACGCACATCATACCTTGATGTCAACAAAATTTTACAAGGATAGCGCCCAGGACTAAGAGGAACAAATCGTAAAGGAACTGGAACAGATTCATCTGGAACTATCAAAATAAATTTAAAATAGTTTAATAATGTTTATGGCATAAATCCTAAAATTCATTTCGGTGTAAAGCAATATTTTATATTACTGTATTTAACTGTACTGTATAATCTAAAAGAGATAAAGTTATTCTGAGATAATATACTATCTCTAAATCTCCAGGGCATAAAAATCAATTTTATTTATCAATGGTGGAATATATCCAATAGTTTTAGGAATGTCTGTCTCACAAAGTCACTTAGTGACCCATGTTGCAAAAGATACCAGAATCTTTCAGCTGTGCCACTAGAAACACCTGTCCTCCTTCTTTGACAGGTTAAAGGAGGAGGAGTGGCTAGATGTTTGCTCAAGTACTTTTCCATAGTCAGCTCAAAACATTGCATTTAATTGGCTCCAACTGAGCAGAGGCTAAGAAATGAGAGGGAGATAAGGAATATTAGGCAAGAATTATTGTCTGATACAATTCTATGGCATAGTGGTGCTTGACCTCATAGCAATCAAAATAATTTACAACTTGAGTAACAGAAATAATTTTTCATAGTTAATAACCAAGAGAAGGAAAAAGAAGCAAGTCCAATTAATATTCTCAAGTCACCTTGTTATAACATTTACTTCAAGTTTATAACTTACACCATTTCTTACTATCTATGCTGGTTATTTTCTTCCAAGAAATACCACTTTTGCACAGAAGGTCACCATTTTTTTTATTCTCCATGAAATAAGATAATAGTTCTAAAAATCACTTAACCCTAAAGCAGGAGGCAGTATAAGATTATAATATAAACTTCAATACTAATGTCAAAATATTTAAGTAATCAATGGAAACCAATGATTACAAATGTTTAGAAGGCTTATACTGTGCAAGTTCTCTGAAGACACACTAAGAAAATGAAGTTATCCAAGTTATGGACCAGATGAGTAGTATCACACTAATTGGTTATAATTTTAATTCACTCACAGTTAATACCTCAAATGCTAAAGACAGCAAACCCATTTTCATATATATGGAAGTCTGTATTAACTGGAAAACATTAACTGCTTTAAATAATTTTTAAAACAAACTCAGGGTTTGAATGTATTTTAAAATTTGTTATGTATTACACAGACATAAATTATATGTTCTATAGCATATATTGTTATATCATATATTATCTATACCAATGTCATATAATCATATATAATATTATAGTTATACACGGTGTGTTAGAACACACTGACAATGGATTACATTTGAAATGTATAATCTAACCAAAGTCCAAGATTCTCTGCTGATTTAAGGAAGAAAGAAAGACTGTCAAGAATGTTTTTATTTTTCACCCTGGTGTGATTTAATTCTGCATGGCTATTCTCTGGTTCAGTAGTGGTTTATCTCCATCCACCTTCTCTCCCACCTAAGTGAGTGCCACCACCCCATGGAAGATATATAGACATAGATATGAACTTCCTGAGGTCCAACAACTATCTTTTTTGGTTGTGAACTAGAGGCCGACAAAGGTGATCACTTTAGAGTGGACAATGAAGAAAACGAACACCAGTTATCTTCAAGAACCATCAGTTTAGGGGCTGGTGCACATGAACTGCACACCGTTGAAGCAGAAGCAATGATTGATGAAGACAGTCCTACTAAAGTAACACTCGCAACTTTGAAACTGTCTGTGGAGCCTTTGGGGGCTCTGAAATCCCACCATCTGCGGCCTCACAGCTGAAGTGTGGCTCAGGTCTTGTGTGCATTAGTGGACGACGCTTGGTGGCTGTGGAGGAAGACACCAAGTAACAAGGTGAAGAGGAGGAGGGTATGAAACTCCTTAGTATGTCTGTGAAGCGTTCTGCCCCTGGATGCGGTAGCAAGTTTCCTCAGAAAAAAAGTAGAAATCCCTGCTGATAAAGATGATAACGATGATGCTGATGATGGTTTTGATGCTGAAGAAAAAGCACCAGTAAAGGAAGTAGATGAGAGAGTCCAGCCGAAATGCACACAAGTCAAATGGAAAAGACTCAAAACCATGAATAATTAGAGCAAAAGGTCAAGAACCCTTCAAAAACCAGGGAAAAAAGCTCCCAAAATACCAAAAGGACCTAGTTCTGTATAAGAAGGCAAGCCAGTATAGAAAGCAAAAAAAGGCAAGCAAGTATAGAAAAAGCACACTGAACAATTCTGGGTACTACCAGTAAATTAAGCCCTAAGATGGGAAGAAAGGAACAGCTGTGCCACGTGGGTTATCACCTTGGCTGGGGATTGAACTCGTGCTGCAGTGGCTGGCAGTAGCTTTATTGCACTGAGACTTTAACCCCTGCGCCACCAGGGAGGCCTCAATCCCCTTTCTTGACTTGCCTCCCACTGAGGCCCCGTTTCAGGCTAAAGAAATCTCTTGGTTCTCTACATCACTATCTTCTGACTGCTTTGATTCAGTGAAACTTAAACTATGCTTTCTACTACTTGTGCATTCACCTCGACTCACCATATTTTAATCACTTTTGTATCTCCTGAGCTGCTCAATGATTTTTTGATTAAAAAAAAGAAGGTTGTCATTTCTAATTTTAGAAAAAAGTTTTTCTTGTCAAAAAAGAACTGCAGGCACATTTTATCATCTGTTGTTCATTGATTACTTTCATTCTGAGAGGAGGAATGTTTGAGCTGTGGCAACAACATTGGAACAATCAGGAGTGGTAATATCTTTAGATTAAAATTTGTTGAAAACAGCAATAAAGAAAACTTGTTTTTCTTTTGCGTGAACATATTCAAATGAAATATTGAGATGAGGTCATTTAAATCAAATTATACTGCTTAGAATAGAAAATTTAAATAACTCAATAGTAATTATTGTCATCAAAGATAGTCACTTAATGGTAAGTAACTGAAATGCACAAGTTCAAGTAAAAGCTTCTATCAAAAGCTTTTGTTGTACACTCTCTTCCTTTCCCTAAAAATATTCCTCTTCTGATGATACTGAATCTGAAAATGAAAGCCAAGGACATTCTTCAGTGTATGTTTTCCAATTCATGAAATGTTCATGAGCAAAGACTCTAAGGAATATACCATGCCAGCCCTTCTCATACAAATCAAAAAAGAAATCCATCATAATGGAGGAAATCATGAAAATGATTTTTGAAGTTGTATTAAAAATATTTGTTTCTTTTTCTTAAACATCTGAAATAACTGATTCATGCTAGATGCAGAAGTAGGAATACTTTCATGTGTTATAAACAAAAAGTCACTTCTGGGTTAATGGAGTCATCAGCCAGTACCTACATCCCCTTAGATGTAAAACAGCAGAGATTGAAACAATTTTGATTTCCAGAAACTTGAAAATTTTACTGGCCACACTGTGCTACAATACCATCATTCTCTTTTAGAGACATGGTTGTTTCCCCCCAATATGTTTCCTAATTCTTCACTGGAATATATGCTGTCCATGCCCTACCATGCCCTCAAGTATTTAATCCTTGTAGGTCAATGGTTTTGTGGGAAACTGTGACTCTCTCTCCCAGGGCTTTCTCTAGCCACAGGAAGATGCTCAGTCCTCACATGGATCAGGCTGAAAGTAACAGTTGACATCTACAGTGGTAGTCCTTAATAATGTCAAAATTGGAGAAGAAATAACTCAACTACTTTGCCCTTCGGTTGAAATAACTCTTAGCTGAATTCTACACTATCTCCTAGAGATTCCCCCAATGCAAATGAGCCTGAATTACTCATGGTGTCAACCACTCATAACACTTCCTGAATTGATAACTTCTCTTTCCTGCCTAGGGTTCCTGAGCTCATCTGTCAAACTACTTGCTCTCAAGATCTTGTCTCTGGGTTTAATGTTGGGGATACCCAATCCAACATACATCCTTGGATACAGAAAGAGAGCTTCCTGACCTAGGTCTCATTCTTTCTTTCTAGGGGATTACTCTGAATCCCCTCTGGCATTGTCTCTCCGCATGCACAAGGGTCCATATGGGTGCAGTGAGACAAGACTATAAGAAGAGCAGCCTCATCCACATTTCAAGTTCATGGGATGCCATAATTCATATTCCACAATACTTTGATCCTGTTTGCACAAGACAGTTCCCTATGTCAATTCTCCTGTTAGAAAACTCTAGAATTGTAGGGCATCAAAGCAGCAGCCATTAATTGGACGATGTTGACCAAGATTATGTGGGCTAAGATACCCATAAAATTGTATGGGGGATCCCTTCTAGTACATGTTAAGAGTTGAAGGAGGGAAGAAAACTGGATGGTCACCTGGCTAGAAGCCAGCATTCCTGTGCTGTCATAGTCTAGTGCGGATGAGTATAAGAATTCTAACTTTAGGGCCTCCCCTGGTGGCACAGTGGTTGAGCGCTGGGCTGCGAAGCTACGCGCAGCCTCTGCAGCGCCGGTTCTATCCCCGGCCTCAGGCGAGGGTCCCACATGGCACACAGACCTCTCCTGCCGCCCACTGCTCCTCTCAGCAGTGTACTTTGTCAGTCTGCCTGTTCTGTTCCCTGCTCTGGCTCTCATGAATTCTCTCACCCTCCCGCACTTCTGACTTTACCCAGTGCTTCTACAAATAAATAAATAAATAAAACTTTAAAAAAAAGAATTCTAACTTTAAACCAGGCCATGCAGGTTTGTATAGTTATATTTGTCAAATATACCTAATGGTAGAATGTATTTGATTTAAAATCTGTTACTTTGATTTACAACTTTGAAAATCTAGACATAGGGTAAATGCGTGGGCTTCTATTTGGAATTTTGACCATGCCATCACAAATATTAGGGACGCTATGGACCTGTCCCTTCTATCCTTACTCTACCCATGCCAGAGGATAAAGGAAGGGTAAGGGGTGAGAACCAAATAGTGAGGAAACATAAAAGACTCTGGGGATGGACTGTGGGTGTTTTTGTTATTGGTGTGGTATAGTAAAAACATCTCAAGGGGGAGAACCTATAACTCAATAAAACAAACAATATAAGCCAATACATCTCAATTTAAAAAAAAAAAAGAATGGGTAATTATTTCCAGCACAGCC